CCTGTAGCACCTGTGTGTCAGTAAAGTGCTGTGTGCTCAGATGTGCCTGCAGCACCTGTGTGACAGTAAAGTGCTGTGTGCTCAGATGTGCCTGCAGCACCTGTGTGACAGTAAAGTGCTGTGTGCTCAGATGTGCCTGCAGCACCTGTGTGTCAGTAAAGTGCTGTGTGCTCAGATGTGCCTGCAGCTCCTGTGTAATGAGGACATCAGAGAGGAGCTGTGGACCGAGGAGCAGAGGAGCCTCTTGGACGTCTTCATCCAGGACCCGTCCATCTCTTCTCTGTCTGTGTCCCTGGACTCTGAGCAGGAGCTACATGTGGCATTCTCTGGGACGTCTGAGGTGTGACCCTGAAGGTCTTAACACATCAGGGTTATTGTAAAGTGCTAGAGCTCAGCTCTAAAGAACACATCAGGGTTATTGTAAAGTGCTAGAGCTCAGCTCTAAAGAACACATCAGGGTTATTGTAAAGTGCTAAAGCTCAGCTCTAAAGAACACATCAGGGTTATTGTAAAGTGCTAGAGCTCAGCTCTAAAGAACACATCAGGGTTATTGTAAAGTGCTAGAGCTCAGCTCTAAAGAACACATCAGGGTTATTTAGAGCTGAGCAGGAGGGTCGTCGTATCCAGTAGGTTCCTCCAGGAGCTTCCTCCAGGAGCTTCCTCCAGTTGGTTTCTCCAGGAGCTTCCTCCAGGAGCTTCCTCCAGGAGCTTCCTTCAGGAGCTTCCTCCAGGAGCTTCCTCCAGGAGCTTCCTCCAGTTGGTTCCTCCAGGAGCTTCCTCCAGGAGCTTCCTCCAGGAGCTACTTCCAGGAGCTTCCTCCAGGAGCTTCCTCCAGGAGGAGTCCTAGTATCTCTCCTCTGGGAGTTTACAGGGGTGTAGAGACTCTCCCTAAAGTTGGATGAATGGAAAAAAGTGTCACATGTGTCCAGCAGCAGAACCATGTGTGTCGTCTGCAGGACGCACACACGACCTTCTTGATCCGAGCACCAGGAGCCGTCCTCAGCCCAGAGACCTTTGATGGTTCTCTACAGATCCACACTCAGCACCATCTGCAGAAGAGTCTGCTGCAGCTCACTCAGGGCGTCCACACTCACCTGGTCTCCATCTCCTCCAACTGGGAGAAGAACATGAAGGACAACTATACCAACACCCTGCACGGCCTGCTGGCCCACCTCACAGGTCTGTGGGACACATGAACACATGAATCAGGAGGGTTTGGGTTCAAATTCTCAGGGCTGAGTCTAGATGAGTGAGAGCCACCGCCAGGATTTGGATTTGTGTGTGTGTGTACTGTGTGTGTGTGTGTGTGTGTGTGTGTGTGTGTGTGTGTGTGTGTGTGTGTGTTCTGTGTGTGTGTGTGTGTGTGTGTGTGTGTGTGTGTGTGTGTGTGTGTGTGCGTGTGTATGTGTGTGTGTGTGTGTATGTGTGTGTGTGTGTGTGTGCAGATGTTTTACACAGTCTGTAATATGTGTGTGCAGATGTGTTCCAGAGTCTGTAATGTGCGTGTGCACTTGTTTTCAACTCCTGGTGGGTTCCATAACCTGAGATTCCACTCACGTCATGGGGACTGGTTTTACGTGGTGGGGCCCGAACACCGGACCCCACTGGTCCAAGCTTAATAATCAATGGGTAATGCTTTTCTAACGGTCCTTATGCAGTCTCTGTAAAAATATGGAAAGGACCCCTGGAGGTTTACTTTCCTGAAAAAAGTGTGTTATGTGTCGGAACCCTGGTGGTGGGTTGCGGGATATCAAGGAGGGGCACACTGGGGCAATTTCAGTCCAGCAGGCTGGAGCCAATCATGGAGCAGCACAACAGAGGAAATCAGGTGTCAGGCTAGAAAAAGGTGCAAGTGTGTGGTTCATTTAGGCTGCAAGAAATCATGGAGGAGCACACTGAAGCGCACGCTTACAAACCACTGGTAAGTGCTGACTACAAGTCATGACTTCAAATTGTTATATAGAATGATTACAAATTATTTGTTGTTTGTGCAGCTTAGTCAAGAGTCCCTAATTGATGAAGTCGACTCAGATTCTGACGATTTAACTGTCAAGAAGAAACCTGTAAAAAAGTATGGAAAAAGAAAAATCAAAAACACTTTTCTTCAAGACTCGGAAAGTGACGAACCAAAGGCAAATAAGATTGTTATCATGCAGCTGCAAAAGAAGAAAAATGGGGGGCGAGTATACAGCAAGAGACACTTCTGCCTCTACTGTTCAATGTCCTGCCACAAAATGTCCCGTCATTTGACTAGAAAACATGGAAATGAAAGTGACGTAGCCAGAGCATTGGCTCTACCTGTGAAATCTAAAGCACGTAAACTTCAGTTTGATTTGATCAGGAATAGTGGAAACCGTGAGCACAATTTTGAGGTTTTAAAGGCCGGCATTGGAACTTTAGTCCCAGCTAAACAGCCAAATTCCCCAGTTAAATCCAGTGAGTTTTTGCACTGTATAGACTGTGGGGCATTGCTTAAGCGAAAGTCGCTGTGGAGGCATGTGGCCAGGTGCCGGCTTTCACAGAAAGATGCCCAGGCTAAACCAGGTAGAAGTAGGGTCCAGTCCCTCTGCTCCCTAGCCCAGCCTGTACCGGAGGGCATCAGCAAAAAGCTGTGGTCTTTAATTTCGGCAATGCATCAGGATGAGGTCACGGGTGTTGTCAAAGCAGAAAAGGGGATTCTGAGACTCGGAGAGCACCTGTACTTAAAACACGGGCATGATAAGACAAAGCATGATTACATTAGGCAGAAAATGAGAGAAGTCGGTAGGTTAATTAACGAAGCAAAAACCGCAGGGAAACTGAAAACAATTAAGGATTTCTTTATTCCTTCCAACTTTAACCATGTGATTGATGCAGTCAGGTCTGTGGCTGGATATGATGAGGAAACAAATCAATACAAGACTCCATCCTTGGCCCTCAAACTCGGCCATAGCCTCAGAAAGCTAGCAGATATTCTTGAATGTGACTCAAAAATGGAGCATTGTGTTGATGAACTATTTATTAAAAACCTCCAACGAAGCCGGCTGCTTTTTGAGAAGAGGTGGGACGTCTGTGTTTCTTCTGCTGCCCTACAGACCCTCCGGCAAGCCAAGTGGAACACTCCGGACCTGCTCCCTCTGACTGAGGACGTTAGAGCCATGCATGCACATATTGAGGTATGTCGACCTGAATATGTGCAAACCCTAATAAGTGAGCCAACGTCTAAGCATTGGTCTAAACTGGCAGTTTTGACTCTTTGTGAGGTCATCATTTTCAATCGAAGAAGGGAAGGTGAGGTTTCAAAGATGCCACTGACAGCCTTTACCTTAAGAAGTAAGACTGGGATCCATTCTGACATTGCTCTGGGACTGTCCCAACTTGAGAAAAAGCTGTGTCAGCATTTTCAACGCATTGAAATTAAAGGGAAAAGAAGTCGGAAAGTGCCGGTTCTTTTGACTCCTGAAATGATTGCTTCGATGGAGGTGCTGGTGGAGAACAGAAGGGCCTGTTCCATCTCTGACCATAACCCATACTTCTTTTCCCGCCCGGGCGCAGACACCCACATCAGGGGATCAGACTCCCTACGCCAGGTAGCCAAAGAATGTGGTGCGGTGCATCCAGAGATGCTATCCTCAACCAAACTTAGAAAGCACATAGCTACTATGTCTACAGTTCTCAATATGAAAGAGAATGAGATGGACATACTTGCCAACTTCCTCGGCCATGACATTCGCATCCACAGGCAATATTACAGACTACCAGAGGGGACACTGGAGCTGGCCAAAATCAGCAAAGTGTTGATGGCCATGGAGCAGGGAAGAGTGACGGAATTCGAAGGAAAGAGCCTCGACCAGATACAAATTGAGCCTGAAGGTAATTCTTGATATTATTAAAATATGTATGATTTTTTTCCCCTAAAGGCCACTTGTATTTTTATTTTCTGTGCGACAGGGAGAGCAGTAGAGATCCTCTCACAAACGGACGGGCTAAAAGAAACTTCAAGCGGAGAACCTTCAACCATTCATCCAGATGCACCCCATGGTAGTGGCAGTGCCCCTTCTGGTAAGTGTACCAGGTGGGGGATTACAGCCAGGCTGCTTGGTCCTCACCCTGGGAGTGTATATTGCTAATATATTTTTATTTCTCTCCCTAGAACGTGTAAGAAAGCCATGGTCTGCATCTGAGGTGAAGGCTGTGGAGAAGACCATGACACCTTTCATACAGACTGGAAAGGTCCCTGGGAAGTCTCACTGCCTGGCCTGCATTAATGCCTCACCAGATGACCTTAGACATCGGACATGGAGTGGCATTAAATTCTATGTCAAAAATAGAATCACTGCAATTCGAAAACAAAATCTAAAATAAAATTCCTTTAAAATAGTTGTTTGGTTTCTATTGACTGTTTTGTATTACTTAAAGTCTTGGTAAAAAAAGATTATGTCTATGGGTCCCATTCTGAACGGCCCTGTCAAAGGGACCCACCAGGTAACAAAAACGTGTATGTGTGTGTGTGCGTGTGTGTGTGTGTGTGTGCAGATGTGCTGTACACAGAGGAGGGCTCCACAGTCCTGTACATCCCTTTGGAGGGTCTGCAGCGCAGCCCAGAGGAAGCCTCCAGAGACAAGAAGCTGGTGCAGAGGATGGAGAGTAAGTACATACAGCTGTAGACAGATGTGCCTGTGTTCTAGATGTGTCTGTGTTCCAGCTGTGTCTGTGTTCCAGATGTGTCTGTGGTGTTCCAGATGTGTCTGTGGTGTTCCAGATGTGTCTGTGCTGTTTCAGATGTGTCTGTGCTGTTCCAGATGTGTCTGTGCTGTTCCAGATGTGTCTGTGGTGTTCCAGATGTGTCTGTGGTGTTCCAGATGTGTCTGTGCTGTTTCAGATGTGTCTGTGCTGTTCCAGATGTGTCTGTGCTGTTCCAGATGTGTCTGTGGTGTTCCAGATGTGTCTTTGGTGTTCCAGATGTGTCTGTGCTGTTTCAGATGTGTCTGTGCTGTTCCAGATGTGTCTGTGCTGTTCCAGATGTGTCTGTGTTCCAGATGTGTCTGTGGTGTTCCAGATATGTCTGTGCTGTTTCAGATGTGTCTGTGCTGTGTTCCAGATGTGTCTGTGCTGTGTTCCAGATGTGTCTGTGGTGTTTCAGATACAATACAATACAATACAATACAATTTATTCTTGTATAGCCCTAGGTCACAACAGAAGTCATCTCAGAGGACTTAACAAAACCATTGAAATCACCAACACAGGTCAGAGAATCAACAGTTAAAACACATGAAGAATATAAAGCACACACAGAAGAAAATGTCCATACATGTTGTAGAATGCTAAAGTGTCCTGATCATCACCAATCCTTTCTGTTGGACACTAACTGTCCAACAAGACCCTCCTGCATCGACAAGGAAAAACTCTTAAAAAACCCAGTGGGAAAACGTGAGAAACCTTGGGGAGCACTAGGGAAACCCACAGGGAGGGAGACCCATATGAGAAAGGGATCCGCTCCTCCGGACGGACAGGCTAATGATCTAGGACCTAAGCTAGCTACAGAACGTGGACCAGTGGCCGCTGAACGTGGACAGGTCCGGTGCAGGACCGAAGCACTCCCAGGCGGGTCGGGCGGGGCAGTCCGCAGGTGTAGATGGAAGAGGCCAGGCTCAGAGATCCCGTCATCGTACCATGAAACAGACAATGGGACAACGGGTGAATAGCAATGAACAAACTACAGTCAGAATCCTAAAAATGCTAAACAGATAAAGTAGGAAGGAGGAGAGGATAGTGCTCAAGTTCCCATACTTCTCCCAGCAAACTGATTCCCTATGCAGCTTGACTAACACTCTGAGGAGTTTAACCTTCTCCGAGTCTTACCTTCCTAGCCATATGCTAAACTAAAGAGGACTGTTTTAAACCTAGCCTTGAATAAAGAATAACATACAGCATAATATATAACATAATATACAACATAACACAATACATTATTGAATAATATATAACATAATACAGCATATATATATATATATATAATATATACACTACATATTATATATTACCTAATTATATGCTAAATTAAAGTAAAGTGCTTTAAGCCTGGCCTTGAATGTGGAGACCGTATCTGCTTCCTTAACATAAATGGGAAGCTGATTCCACAGTAAAGGAGCTTGGTAGCTAAATGCTCTGCCACCAACAGTGACCTTTGAGACCTTAGGGACCACCAGACGTCTGGCGTTTTGTGAGCGCAACGCTCGACCTGGTTGATATGACACTAATGTGTCTTGGAGATAAGAGGGAGCCAAGCCATTTATGGCTTTATATGTTAAGAGTAGGATTTTAAACTTTATTCTGTACTCCACAGGGAGCCAGTGGGGTGATTTTAACACCGGAGTTATGTGCTCCCTCCTTTTGGTACCTGTTAAGATCCTAGCTGCTGTATTCTGAACGAGCTGGAAGCTCTTCAAAGAGGCTTTAGGGCACGCTGCCAGTAAAGCGTTACAGTAGTCGAGCCTTGAGGTGACAAACGCGTGAATGAGTTTTTCCGCGTCACTTTTAGGAAGGAAATTCCTAATTTTAGCGATGTTCCGTAAGTGGAAGTACGCCGTTTTAGTTGCTTGGCTTATATAAGCCTTGAAGGAGAGTTCTTGGTCAAAAATGACTCCAAGATTCCTCACAGTGTTACTGGGTATTATACTGACATTATCGAGAGTAACCATCTGGTTAGTGAGGGAGTCACGCAGGCGCTTCGGACCGAGTAGGATCACTTCTGTCTTCTCCGGGTTGAGAAGTAGGAAGTTAAGAGTCATCCACATTTTAAGGTCCTTTATGCAGGCACTGAGCTTTTCTAGCTGATCTGTCTGGTTAGGCTTCATCGACAGATAAAGCTGTGTGTCATCTGCATAGCAGTGGAAATTAATTCCATGCTTTTTAATAATGTTTCCCAGTGGCAGCATGTAGAGAGTAAAAAGAATCGGTCCGAGTACCGAACCCTGCGGCACACCGAATTCCACTCCAGAATAAGGCGACGAGTCCTGATTCACATTGACGAAGTGATATCGATCTGATAAATAGGATTTAAACCAGCCACGGGCTGTTCCTCTAAGACCTATATCACATTCTAGCCTCTGCAGTAGAATGCTGTGGTCTATTGTGTCAAATGCAGCACTAAGGTCCAGTAGGACCAGCACTGACACTTGTCCATTATCGGCAGCTAGTAGTAAGTCATTTGTGACTTTGACTAGTGCCGTTTCAGTGCTATGATGAGCTCTGAATCCTGATTGAAAGACTTCAAACATATTATTTTCCTGCAGGTGGCAGCGGAGCTGCTCAGCTATAAGTTTTTCCAGGATTTTAGATATAAAAGTGAGGTTTGAGATCGGTCTGTAGTTTGTAAGTATTTCTGGGTCCAGGTTTGTTTTCTTCAGAAGGGGTTTGATTACCGCGGTTTTAAAAGCTTGTGGGACATAGCCACATTGTATGGATGCATTTATTATATTTACGATAGGCTCAATTATCAAAGGAAGTATGTCTTTGAAGAGCCATGTCGGGACTGCGTCTAACATGCAAGTTGAGGCTTTTGAGGATGTGACCACAGAGATCACCTCTGCTTGGCTCACAGCCATGAATTTATCAAGGCCCACTGAAGAGTCTAAGTGGGAAGTTACGTATGCCGCTTCAACCACCACAGATGTGTCTGTGGTGTTCCAGATGTGTCTGTGCTGTTTCAGATGTGTCTGTGCTGTTCCAGATGTATCTGTGCTGTTCCAGATGTGTCTGTGTTCCAGATGTGTCTGTGGTGTTCCAGATGTGTCTGTGCTGTGTTCCAGATGTGTCTGTGCTGTGTTCCAGATGTGTCTGTGCTGTGTTCCAGATGTGGTGATCCACTGGACAGACCAGATAAAGAGGCTGTTGAATGCAGAGGAGGTGACCATAGTGAGCGGCTCATGTGGTCCTCTGCAGGAGATCCAGATGTGGAGGAGCAGAGCAGAGAAACTGTTGGACATGAGTCGCCAGCTGCAGAAGCCTGAGGTCCAGCACATCCAGGACGTCCTGCTCCTGTCCAAGTCTCTGTACGCCCAGCGCTTCTGCAAGCTGGCCCTGCAGATACAGGTGCTTATTCTGTGCTTTAGAACTTAACTAATCTGGCCCTGCAGATTCAGGTGCTTATCCTGTGCGTTCATCTTAACTTAAGCTGGCCCTGCAGATACAGGTGCTTACCTTGTGCTTTATAACTTAACTTAAGCTGGCCCTGCAGAGACAGGTGCTTATCCTGTGCTTTATAACTTAACTAAGCTGGCCCTACAGATACAGGTGCTTATCCTGTGCTTTGGAACTTAGCTAAGCTGGCCCTGCAGATACAGGTGCTTACCCTGTGCTTAGAACTTAACTTAAGCTGGCCCTGCAGATACAGATGCTTACCCTGTGCTTTATAATTTAACTTAAACTGGCCCTGCAGACACAGGTGCTTATTCTATGCTTTAGAACTTAACTTAAGATTGCCCTGCAGATACAGGTGCTTATCCTGAAACAGACCAATCACTCTTCAGCTGAAACAGACCAATCAGAAGCCTCTTCAGATTAAACAAACCAATCAGAAGCCTCTTCAGAAGGATCTTTCTTGTCGAAAAATATAATATTAATAAACTGCATTATTTGCTTTCTGCCTGTAACTGCCTCTGCTGCCACCAGAGGGAGCAGCTGAGTTTGTGATCACAAAGAACAAACACAAACAAATGAATGTTTGTGTGTGTGTTTGTGTGTATCTGTGCGTGTGTATGTGTGTATCTGTGTGTATCTGTGTGTGTATTTATGTGTTTGTGTGTGTGTGTATGTGTGTGTTTGTGTGTGTGTGTAGACGTCATCTGTGCAGGCCCAGTCCAACCTATCCTTCCTGTCTGTCCTGGAGAGCCCCTGTGCAGAGCTGTCCTCTCTGAGCCCGAGGCAGGTCCCTCCCAAGCTCCAGAACATCATCCACCTAATCCACCTCATCTGGCTCCACTCAGACTACTACAACACCAGCGAGCGCATCACGGGCCTCTTCCACAAGGTGAGCCCATGTGAGCATCACGGGCCTCTTCCACAAGGTGAGACCATCACAGGCCTCTTCCATAAGGTGAGACTATGTAAGCACAGGCCTCTTCCACAAGGTGAGACCATGTGAGCACAGGCCTCTTACACAAGGTGAGACCATGTGAGCACAGGCCTCTTCCTCAAGGTGAGACCATGTGAGCACAGGCCTCTTCCACAAGGTGAGACCATGTGAGCATGGACACTTCAGGACCATTTCCCTCAAAGGTTTCTTTGAGCTGCTTCTTATTTAAGTAATTTGAACCTCTACAGGAGTAGGTAGTTTAGAGCCCCCCCTGGAGGAAAGGTTTAGACACAGTTCTGTTGATCTCCAAAGCTGATGACGGAGCACACATTCCTGCGTGTTTATGTGAAAGGCAGAGAAGCATGTGGAAGTGTTTATACATGTGATTAGTGCAGAGTTTATGAACATATTATTTTGACTCTAGTTTTAGTTGAATATTAGAGTTCCCAGTGGGTCACATATAACAGCTTTGTTCTGCTCCCGCTGTGGGTTCAGTGTTGCCTGGCCTGCCAAACGATATGCTTTTTCAAAGACATATAGTCTGGGAACGAGCTTGATCTCAGCGAATTCCCGGTGGGCGTGGTTGACAGACTGCATCAACCAATTAGATGCACACAGGATATGACGCAGCAACTAGCGGCACCCAAGCCGTTTCAGTAAACACAAAACAAGGGATGGCGGCATGTCAGCTAGTGCAAATGTAAACGACTGCTGTCGATTTTGTAACAAAAACTTAAAGATACGAGGAGTTATTAGCAACTCAAAGGTGAAAGGAAGTCCCGCCTCTCGGTGCGTGATTGGACCGATGTGGGTAAAATCGTGAAATGATAGGCTAGGAAGAGGTGTCCAGACGGTTCTTCTTTTGAACAGAAAGGAGGAGTGTCTGGCAGGCCAGGCAAGGTTCAGTGGTCATTCCACATGTGTCTTAACCCTGAGATAAACCA